GAAGTTGTCATGATTATTTGATTTGTTCTTATTAAGCCAAATCTTTATTTTTGATATCTTTCAAATAATCAATTATTGCATACAATAACTTGAGCAATAAATTGTTCTAAAGATTTTAGAAACTTTGGTATTGTCTGTAACAAAACTTTGACATTATCCTTCAATCCATATCAAAATTGATTGATAAGGGCTTTGTCAATCTATTTCATATTGCAAGCAAGGATTTAGAATTCAGCAGTATACATGGTGGCTGACCATGATTCTTACCATAAAGATAAGAGCTTAGTCTTTGCTACTTTTTTTTTATTACTTCTTCTAAATGTGATTATAAACACTTTTACAAATGAATTCAAATCATAAAAGAGTCACAAATATTTTTTTATTAAAGGTACAAACCAAAAAAGAACACTTTTTAATAGAATTGCATCTATATGTCCAATTTGAATAAATCCATCTGAATATTAGAAAAGATGCAACCTTAGATAAAGCTTAAATTTTTGTAAAAATCCTCAAAATTTTGATATTATTCCATCAAACTTTTCAAACATACCAATCTTTATCCCGGTCATATTTATAGAAGCAAAACTCTCTGGATTTAGTAGCAATGTTAATCTATTTGCTTCTTTCAACTACACAACTTCTTGTTATAGACTCTGAACTTCTTCCATAGGCGTAGGTAAAGTGTTTTCATGATTTATATTGAAAATACATGAGATTTCTATTTTTAGAGTATCGATAAGTTCATAAAGATCCATAATAGTTGTAAAATTATTTTCACTTTTGCTGCAAGTAGTATCCATAATCATTCTTTCATAGATAACTCAAACAAATTCAAAAAATTAAATTAGAGAAGGATTATCCACAACCTATAATATTAAATGAAAATTTTGACAAAGAGGAGTAATCCACTTTTTTTAAAGAAAAGATCAATCTTAAAAAATAAGATTTTTTGTTTAAAGATGGATAGTCCTAAGCCTTCAAAACACAACAATAGAAGAAGAACACTTTTGTGATACTAAAAAGAACTAGAAAGCCACTCAAAGATGATATGTAATTGAACTAGAATAGTTATTGGAAAAGAAAAAAAGACCATAAAGTCTTAAAATAAGACTAAAGACTAGAAAGACATTGACAAAAGTAAAGAAGGCTTCACTCTTGCCTCCATATATACTCTTAACTAGGAGCTACAAGACAATGTCTTATAAGACCTCTAAAATATGTTGACTTTGTAAGACATATATCTTAACTTACAAAGCAAGTTTTCTATATGTGTGCCACATAGTTTATTTATTCTGCAAGCTATCAACATGTGGTTAATTTGTTGATCAAGTTTCTAACCTATCAATTATCTACAAATATATGTAAAATCAAAGTAGCATCTATGAAGCTTCTAGGAAGCTACTCTAAAAGGTAATATGAAATTAACTTATTTTTATCTACTTCTACCTACTTCTATTTAATCATATAAGTATGTACTAAAGTACTATGTATATCTGTGATACATCATCACATTTCACTATAGCTATTATGAAATCATACTATAAAAATATTATTACTAATCTACAATATATATTTTAGATATAGCAAATGCTACCAAAGTTTGTATTATTGCCACCACAAATTGCCATCTATAATATGCCACCATAGTTATTTCTATTGCTATGACAATTCATTACTTATTTAATATATTTTTTTAATTTTTTTTATCTTAATAAAAAATTATTAATATTTTTTAAATATTTTATTTTTAACACACACTTATATATATGTAGGTATAAATATATAAGTAATAAATAATAATAAATTTTACTAATAATAACAAAAATTATGATTGCACTAGCAATATTAAATATTTATATTAAATTTAAAAAAATTATAAATGATTTGTATACAACTAGAGTTTAAAAAAATTTAAGAATCAATAAAAGCATAAATTAGGTCCAAAAATAATTTATAAAAGAGTTAATTTACAAGATTTAAGATAGATTTTTAAAACTTTATTAAAACTTATGTTTATTATACTATATTTTTATATTTATATTATATTCATTTTCTTAAAATTTTAAAATAAAAATAAAATATGAATTTTATAAATAATATAATCTAAACAAACTTATCAAATAAAAATATATATATTAAAGAAGTTATATTATTAAATTCTTAAACCATTAAAATTTTAAGTCATTTGTTTGAAATTATAATATATATATATATATATATAAATAAAAACTAATTTTTGGTTGATATATAAAAAATCCAAATTTTTGGACATTTGCTTTGAAAATTTTACTAAAAAGCATATGTTCTTTTCATAATAATCTAAAAATATATTATTTAAATATAAAATTTATATATATATAAAAAAGTCTATAAATACTATAATTTTTAATAAATATATATATATATATATGTGTGTGTGTGTGTGTGTGTATATAATTTAAAATTTCGAAAATATTGATTTAGACATAAACATTGAGTAACTTTATTTTTAAAATTAAGAATTTAATAATTTGATAATTTCTCTAGAAGAATAAGAACACATTTTGTTGCTAAAAAGAGATTTATTAAATTTTCCTAACATGATGTTGTATAAAATAATAGTTCTTGCTATCTAAAAAATAATTAAATATTTGATTCATAATCTTTTTTTTTAATAAATAATATCAAGAAGTGTAACAATAGTTAATAAGATTAGAATATAATATAATAAATACATTATTATGATTAAAATTATAGAAGATTAATAATAATTATAAAGAAAATAATAGAAAATATATTAAAATATCAACATAAATACAAATAAACACAATTGAAGGTGTTCTTAGTCTTATTTGTTTATATATATATATATATATATATATATATATATATATATATATAATTCACTAGCAAAGCTAAAAGCTTTAATTCTAAGTAGCTAATATATCACTCTTCAAATCATTGGAATTCATTCAAAAACTTGATTCTTGATTTTTAACATTAATTTTTTAAAAGAATTAAATTTTTAAATTGAAGTTTTATGAGAACATTCATTCAATTATCAACCAAGATAATCTATATATATATATATATATATATATATATATATTTAAATCTTTGAAACTTTATTTAAATAATAATAATTTGACAAGCTTGCAAAAAATTATGATTTGTTTTAGATATGTTTTATATTATTAAATTTTAAATATATTCTTAAAGGCTTCTACTTCATAATTATTTATTATAAGTTAATATCCAACATTAAAATATTTTTTCTTTGATTCAAGTTCAACCAATTCAAAAAAATAATTACATGAGATATTATAATTAATCTTAATACTAAAATAGGCATCATCAAAGCTAAAAATATTAAATAATGCAAGTATCTTTTAATTAGTTGTATTAGAGTTTTATAAGGCAAAAATGAAAGATTTCTATCATTAGACCACAAAATCCTAAAGCTTAAAAAAATTATCTATACTTCCTTAGTAGATTCCAACCTCAAATATATATATATATATATATATATATATATATATATTCTATTTAAGCAATGAACAAATATATCAAAGGTACAAATCAATCATTCATAATTTTCATATTTTATTTTCTTATCAAATTCAAATAAAAAGATAGTGGTGTTTTTTATCTTTTATCTTTTTATATTTTCTTTCCTTGAGATTCTAGATGACTTAAAAGATCTGATAAGTTAAGTAAAAAAAATAAAAGTAAATGTAATTTTTGAACTACTTTAAAGTATTTAAGTATTCAATCCTATATATGGTTCTATTTTATATTTAAATTTTTTTATCATAAAATTCATGAAAAATGTTATATTTTGCACTAGGCTTGAAATTCTTGTGGATTTGTATATAAATTATAAACTAATCTTTCATTTTGTGTAACTATAATATAAAAATCTTATAAATATTAGAGAAATACATGGTTAGTATAGTCACATTAAATCATATAAGAAAATTCTTTATTTTGCATTTCAAATTGTTTTTTCATGTTAGGAATATGTGTACTAAGAAATGTGAAATAGTAGGAATATTTACACTTATAAATGACTTAGGGTCATTGCTTCGTAATGGAAAAAAATATAATAGATGAGAAGCTACAAAAAGGAATAAAACAATTTTTAATGCATATTAATGGCACAATTTCTATGACAATTGTAAGATTCAAACTGACACTTTAATAGATTGTAGTCAAAATCTCTATGAAAATTGTCACACAAAAACATCCACATTGCAACCATTTCACAATCTACTTTACATATCACAAAAACTAAGAAACAAGTGCATTTAGTGTTAATATATTTATATATATATTTATATATATATATATATATATATATATATATATATATGCTATTTCTATAGCTCTGTAATTATACAACTTCATAAAATTAATAGAAATAAACAAGATAATAATTATATCTAAGCTTGCCTTCACACACATATTTCTAAAAAACAAGATAATAAAAAGAAGGACAAATGAAACAAAACTAAGGAATCGTTTCTTGCGCAATATAACCTAAAATGGAATAATGAAATTATACAAGCTTCAGTGATATATGCCAAGATTATCTATTATTATTTAGGAGAGTATAATTTCAAGTATTGACTGTCAATATTGGAAGATATAAAAGTTTAGGCTGCAACTGTCAGAGAGTGGAAAGGCCTAGAGGTGGGACACAACACATTAATCCATGTGAGCAATAAATGCTACACTTACTCTGCCTTGCGGAAGACGACGATGGTCGACCTGAGAGCACGGAACCCTAAATAGCACCGCGTGGTGGAATCGGAGATAGAACGAGCGAGCATCTTGCAACCCTAGCTAGCATTGCCGACCACGAGCACAGACCAGCGTGGCAGAGATCGGAGACTTAGTGATGAAGCGAGTGAGCGAGTGAGTGGGTGAGGGAATGGGAGGAGTCAGAGTCTTGGAACCTGGAAGCGACGACACAAAATAGGCATGTGTGTTCCTTGATCGACATCGGGGTCCCACGACAGGGTTCTGGTTGTGCCC